GAGGAAGACACTGGAAAGTCATGTTTCACATTACCTTTCATGGTCAAGGATTAGTTCAAATTATCAGGCCCTGGCTGGAATAGGGCGGATTCCTTTCCGCTCCGTTAAGTACTGGAGGCCTGTAACCGACGCAGAGGATGCTCGCTGGCTTATCGTAGAAGCGTTAGTTTACGTTTTTCATGTCTTTCATTGTTAAAGGGCTCCATCGTTAGAGGCCGCTGACTTTCTGGATCCCACCCCCGTCTCCGTTCAGTAAAGGTATTCAGAACTCCGACTCAGACCCTAATGCGGCGAGCAGGACTCCACGTTAGGCACTCTGAGCTCTTGACCAGTGGCGCAGTCAGAGGGGAGAGAAGTTCGTGGTGCTTTGGCCCTCCCCCGTCAGGTTCGAGCGCAGTTTTAGCTGGAAATCAGGAAAACTACCTTGGCTTGAAATCCCACAGACACTACCATGGTCAGTGACATATAGATTTCAACAGCCGTGATTTTGTAACAATACTAGCGGAAAGTTGAGTGAGCAGGTACGCTGCTCAGCTGAAACAAACCTTTTAGGCACCAGGGTAAGCCAACATCGATAGCTCACTGATAGACTTGGTAGTAAGGCATATCTTATGGGTAAATCGCTGGGGAGATCTGAGTCATCTGAATTCCGGATAACTTCAACACAAAATGCGTATTTTGCCGACATTCCTGTCATGCCGGCAATCGTACACAATTTCCATTTACCAATTTTGCTCTTTCCTTATAACTAAATCAACTTCGTTAAACAGGTTTAGACAGCAAACTGCATGATGAGTTCGGCTATAATATAGAGGTGCAGAGCACTTTTTTATCGCCTTCTTACTCAAAGCGGGCTGTCATACGATACACTATCTACGGAAATGTGCATCAATTTGCATGTCTACCCCTGCTTGCTTGTTTATATGCTAGTCGTCTCTTGCTTGTTCACCCGTGTGGAGGCCAAACAGAATGAAATAAAACACTGAAAGTCTCACATCACGCATGTGTGAGAGTCAGAAATGTACGTATACTGCTGACGGCTCGCTGCGGGAATCGATGAGCTCTACGCACTGATGGTAAGGTCTGTTCTAAGGTCAATAGGGTTACTGCAAGTACTTGCGGGCTTGTTTCTCTACACGACGTGATCAACTCCTTGAAAACGCATGGAGAGAGCCGTGGTACTATATGTAGGGTTGTGTCTACATTATTTTGGGCTACGCTCATCATCTTTCATAGAATTTCTTGACCGAGCGGACCTCTGGCTGACGGGAATGGGCGTGATGTGCTGACTACCAGGGATGTGCATGAGTTATAGAAAAGATACTTCATCTATAAGACAACTATCAAACGTGTACGTGGGTGAAACCAGTTGAACGGTAGTCCAGCCCGAGGCAACAGAAACAACGTCACAGAACGCTGCGGTCTCCGGAGTGTAGAGCCGACGGGTTTGGGAGCAGACGTGAATTCGGACACCAAACTCGTCATAGATACGTAGGACTAGGTAGGACAACAGCTGCCTGCCAATGCATGAAAACCGCCGCCATTTTGGGACAGTCATTGAGCCCTCTGTGCAGGTTAGCTGGGTATGTCTGTGGGGGTCGGTATTTTACATACTGTTATGGTTTTACGTTTTTATGGTCCATGTTTTTATTTTTACATATTTCGTTATTTGTCGCTTTCGTTGAATATGCCGCGTGATGGCATAGTCTCTGCAAGCCAAAGGTGTATCCAATAAGCCGTGGATTTGTGTTTTTTATATTGTAATTAAGCTGGTGTTGACGGTGCCAGTCGGAGGTGCCAACCAGGCGGTAACGATTTCCTTTCAAGGGAAGGTTAATGTTCTGGTTAGGGTCAACGCTCCCCGGGAATTTGATTTTCGATGACCTTTTCAACTTTTAAACCAAGATCTCTTTTTGAGATCTCTTTTAAAATTTGAGGGCCCCTATTCTGGATCTTTAACACGCACCCAGGTGGCCGGTTCGATACCCTTCGCTCGGGTGTCGTGGGGGTCAATTTGAGCCCCTCCCCTGATATCTCAGGAACTAAGAGAAACAGAGGTACCATATTCCCAAAGTATGCTAAACTTTACATTTACTCTCTTAGGTCAAAGTTTGAGGTTCCTAGGTCATGTTCTTTGGGTCAAATAAGGTCAAACAAGGTCAAAATCCAGGTTGGTCTCCAAAGGGCTGCTAGAACATAGATAATTGTTACAACCAAAAGATCACATACTCATTTAAGGTACGTGACCTTTTTGACCTTTTGAAGGTCATGGTGGTCAAAACCGTACAAGGCCGCTTTGAGTTTTGCAATTGAATAAGCGACAAAGGTTACGCTAGGCAGTCTATTCCTAAAACAAAATGTTGAACTGGGTCATTTTAGGTTAATGACCTATTCTGACTTTTGAGAAGTCCACGGAAGGTGTATAATGCGGTTCCTGTAATCAGTAAACTCATAGTGAGCACTACAAATGATCTCATGCAGTGAACACTCCAGTAATAAAACAGGTTGGCCTTTACCTTGGTCCGACCTTTGTAATTGACCCTAGGTCAATGTAATTTGTTTATTCAATTGTTGTGTGACCTAAGAAAATATATCAAAGATGTGTAGCTTCGTCTTACACTTCGCTGTTGGAGCGGACTGAACGATTCCCTAGAAATTGCATTCGCTGAAACCGTGGCCCGACTTTGACCTGCCATAGGTCATCTGGCCGTCCCATTAAGTGTGTTGTGGTTGGAGATGGCACAGTTGGGAAGACATGCATGCTGATCTCCTATACCACAAGCAGCTTCCCAGGAGAATATGTGCCCACCGTGTAAGTATTTTAGCAATAAGTATAGCCCGGTGCATTTATGCTTTGTCAGGAATGATTTCGGGCTGAGAATTTGATAAGGTTCAGTGGCTTCAGAAGGGACATCTATCCGCTATTCAATTGTTTACAGCTGCGACAAATTTGGCGCGGCTACGTCGCGCCGTTCGAAAATCATTCCGAAAAACCTACGGGGGGCATTTGATCCCCACCCGAGCAAGTGCTACATCGTCGACACTTATTTACATGGATGTGATGCCTGTGACATTTTGATGAGGGAGCACGTGCTCCTCTCCACGGAACATTACGCTGCCCAGGAGGCCCCACTTTGTTCGGGAGACCGCTTGAAAAATTTTGCCCCCTACTGAAAGTATGCAGCGCCGTCACTGCACCCCTGTGCTACACCGATTTACACACCCTCGGGTGGGGTCAAATTGACCTCCTGAAGATTTTTCGAAATGGTTTCCGAATGACGCTGCATAGCCCCGCCAAATTTTGCTTGACTGTAGACAATTGGATAGCAGATCGTTTAACATAACAAATTTAGGTGTAACTTGCAAGGTCACTGACCTATGGCAGTTCAAAGTCAAGCCATAGTTTCAACGTAGGCAGTTTCTAGGGAATCGCTCAGTTTGATCCAATAACGGGGCGTAAGATGAAGACACACATCTCTGGGATACATTCTTATGCAACACAGCAATTGAATAAACAAATTACATTGACCTATGGTCAGGTATGAGGGTCAGACTAAGGTCAAAACCAATCTGTTCTATCACTCGAGGTCTTGCTGTATGGAGTAGTTTCTGGAACTCATTTCAAATTTATTGATAACAGGAGCCGCATTATACACCTTCCATGAAGTTCTCAAAGGTCAGAATAGGTCACTCACCTAAAATGACCGAGGTCAACATTTTGTGTTTAGGAACATGGCGCCCAGCATAATCTTTGTCGTTTCTTCTTCAATTCCAAAGCCCAAAGCATTCTTGTATGATTTTGGTTACCTTGACCTTTAAAATGTCAAACAAGGTCATTGACCAAATGAGCTTAGAACAGCTAGCTTTGCTTAGAACAGTTGTCTAGGTTCTAGCTGCCCTTTGGAAACCAACCTGGAATTTGACCCTGTTTGACCTTATTTGGCCCGAAGTTTATGATCTAGGAGACTCAAACTTTGACCTGAAGAGTTCACGTACAGGTCAGCATACCCTTTCGGGGGTCAGACTGACCCCCCGCTCCCTCCACCCGAGCGGAGGGTATCCAACCGGCCAACCGGGAGCGTGTTAATGTTTGTTTAGTCTGAAGTCTGTTGCCATACTGGGCACTGTCAATGGCGCTGGGATTCGCTCATAAAAGTAAACCTCCATCGCAATTGATGGTGGCCCGTCACCCTCAAACATTTTGCCTGCACCTCTGCCCACGACCGACGCCGGGGGCTCCTCAAGATCTCAGAGCTACGTTCAAAACAAGAGGCCCTTAGTGACAGTCGTGGGTCCCGGCCTTTTTCTGGATTCGGAAACTGGCCCCGAGTGGATAGACTGACAAGACCTGGGTTGACTGTTCGGCATTGGTGGTGCCTGACCGACAATGAGGTCCTGAACGTCCCAGGAGGTCCTGAACGTCCCAGGAGGCCCTGGACGTCCCAAAAGGCCCTTACTCAATGCATCAGGCCTTTTGACTGCTATTTGAGGGACTGGCCCGGGGAGGGGTCCTAAATGCGAACTCCAGCTGGACCTTCTGGCCCTGGCCCTCCAATGATGCAATGATACATCACGGCCCGGGGTCCCTCATGGCTCCCGGGTCCCTCATAGTCAGCCCATCATGTTCAGTTTATGCTTCCTCCGGGAGGTGACCGACTGTCCTCACTGCATTTTTGCATTTTAAGACGACAGCAGGGCTTCTAAAGGCTCCAGTTATAATTTCCGAATGTCGGAACGGGATGCCTTTAGTCCAAAGATCCTCCTTGATTAAAAGGCCACTTCTCGACCAATTTCATCCCATCTTGAGCGGCATAGTGGCTCCGCCACTGCGAGGTAGGCAAGAAAACCGTTACTCACCAGCGATTGTGCCCCGCAAAGTGGAGACAACCGAAAAGCTTGACCCAGTGACGTCATTTGCCGGGCCATACAGACTATAAGCAAATCAGGGTTGGACTAGCCACTATAGACCTTTCCTTGGAAGTGCTGCCGTTGATGGTCGCCGGAGCGGCGCCGATCGCTGAGTCGAGGCGTGAGGGGTGAGTCACTCTGGGTGGGTTTGCCGGCCTTGTCAAGGGGTTTGCCGGTGGGTGGGCAAATGGCGAGTGGACGGAACGTCGGACGCTGGGCGGTATCGTAGGCCGAAGTCTGTTTGTGTGCCTAGGAGAACTGCGTGCGTACCAATCTCCAATTTCACTGCCAATCGCTCTAGTACCAAACAGAATGAGCAAGTTCTGGGTGTTCCCACCGTCGTGGAATGAGTCATGGCCCATGTGGTTCCTTGGACCCATCCGTTAAGGAAAAAGACGAGGTCGTGGGTCAGTCATGTGGATGGATTTCTTGTACACTGCTATTGTGACTGACTAGATGACTCTATGGGTTAGGTTTGCATTTCCTGCATATCCCTGTGTTTGTTGGCATTGTGTCAGTGTAATTGTTATATCTGATGGCTGCTGTATTCATTCTGTTAGTTTACAGCCTGCAAATGATATTACAGACATCAGGACGCTCTTACCATCAGCATGGGCTCTGCCACAATAAGGCAACTTGCAGAAGCCTGGATGGCTGCAAACTTATCCCTTCTAACTGGTTTTGAGATGTTTAATTGTGCAATCCTTAGCATCAAATGCAAAGCATAATCAGGAGAGTAGCAAATGAAATAGCATAATACATTATGAGTGATATGCAACCATGTATATGATTAAGTATTGAAAAGTCCCTTCTGCTTCTGAGGCCTGTAATACAAGGACAAAGATAAATTTGACATTGTTGGCATCTTTGGCATTAAAGGTGCATTAACAAGAGGTATTTGGGACACTCCCTGTGATCTTAGATGTAAATTTTATAGTGTCATATTAATATTTGATAGAAGAGCTGTAAGACTGAAATTTTGCATTATCCCAAAACATGAAGATGATCATAGAAATTGCCATTCTGACACCTTTTGCTCTGGTTCACTAGGCAGGTATAATGCCACAGACTTAAATGCTGTTGATTTGCTAATATCACAGCATGCTGGTAACCAAATAATGCATTTTGAATCCAAACAATGCATGCATATTGCAGCACTATTGGTATTAAGTTGACAGACAACAAGGTATTATATGCATAAGGTGGAGGCACTTCAAGCTGCTTTGGTTTTTTCTGAATAGAATTGGGTGGGTGCAGTTATTTTAAGTAAGATGTGCACAATATCATTTGGTGTTTTATTCCAAATAGTAAGGAGTTGTGGGAAAGATCTCCTCTCACATTGTGCCTGTACCTGCAGTGGGCCTGGAACATCCGTTGACCAACACAGAGCTGGCATGTCATCTGGTCGTCCCATTAAGTGTGTTGTGGTTGGAGATGGCACAGTTGGGAAGACATGCATGCTGATCTCCTACACCACAGACAGCTTCCCAGGAGAATATGTGCCCACCGTGTAAGTATTTTAGCAGTAAGCCTAGCCTGGTGCATTTATGCTTTGTCAGTAACGGTTGTGGGCTCGAGCAAGCCTTTCCTTTGCTGAATGACATGTCAGGTTGTCAGATTTAATCCTGCACACTTTCATTGTATCTTTGAGAATTTGATAACATAGGACATCCTGCATTTCACCAAATTTACTCCAGTTCAAGGATTGGCTCTTAGATAAAACACAGTCCAAATCAGAGACAAATGGGTCAACAAAAACTAGTGGCAGGTTGTGTTGGGTGATGCAGGTAGTTGGGGGGACTCTATTGCCTGTCCAGAAAATGACCCTGTTGGTGCTACATGCCTCTGACAATATCTTGCCAAGGCTCAGGTGCTGAGTTTATTTTCCTGGTTTCCTTAGTCTGGACTACCAGCTTGGTCTTGTGTATGACATTCCACCATCAGACGTTCTGTAGTCTCCTGGATTTACAATGTGTGAGTGTATTGGCATTTGATGTCCACATCTGGTCATTCTGCAGGTTTGACAACTACTCAGCGCCCATGGTGTGTGATGGCATCCCTGTGAGTCTCGGCCTCTGGGACACGGCTGGCCAGGAGGACTATGACCGGCTGCGGCCTCTGTCCTACCCCCAGGTAACCACCCGACCACCGCACGGGAAATACGGGGCTCACGGCAGAAGGGAAATGCGACTTGTATGCTTGTTTTATCACCCCATTTACTGGATGCAAAAAGAGAGGATGTGGTGTGTCTAGTTCCCTTGGAACTGTGCAGTTGTGCTAGAATCAGTGAAAGAAATATGGAACATAGGGACAAAACGAAAAAGTCGATACGATATCTGGACGCCAGCAGTTGCCGCGCTGCGATCTGTGTTGCAACATCAGTCAAGTAAATGTTCTGTGCACCATTTCAGACAGACGTCTTCCTGATCTGCTTCTCGGTCGTGAGTCCGTCCTCGTTCGAGAATGTCACAACCAAGTGGTGCGCCGAGATCAAGCACCACTGTCCGGAGGCGCCCGTCATACTCGTCGGTAGGTGCCCCCCGCCATCGAGCTCCGCACTATGGTTGTCTGGCGGCCAGCTAAGCCTGTCGTGGATGGAGATAGTTGCGCTAGGTTATCTGTGGTTTGTTGCGGAGGACGTTGTAAAAGAGCAGAACTCCTCAAGAAGTTTGGGTCTGCTTATGTTTATACGCGTTTTGTACTGACACATTGTAAGGAAACAACAGCCAGTTAGTAAAGTCTGGTGTTCGACTAAGTGAGATGGAAGGATGTCTAGTCGTCTGCACGGCTTCCGGTTGGCGCGAGGCGGCTCTTCATGACGCCCAGTCTACCGTCCAGGCACCAAGATTGACCTGCGGGAGGACAAGGAGCAGCTGCAGCAGCTGTCGGAGCTCGGCCTGTCGCCCGTCAAACGGGAGCACGGCCAGAAGCTGGCGCACAAGATCAGAGCTGTCAAATACATGGAATGCTCGGCGCTGACCCAGCGCGGCCTCAAACAGGTGAGAGGTCACGGACCATGGGTTCACGGTGGCGGCAGCGGTTTGAGAGAATCTAGGTCGACCACAGAGGTCTGTGGTGCTGCACCGTCGCTGGTGGCGTCGTGATGGGCTATGTCTGCGGTGTATGATCATGAAGACTGTTCGCGGTGCGACGCCAGCACCGATAGAGCTTGGAACTGAATGCTGGTGTGGCGACGTTTTGTGACACCATAACTGACTGGCCCAGCAAGATCCTGAACGGAAGCGGTTTCGCTTAAGTCTTGCTAGATGGATGCACAATGTCTCCCCGCGTGCCTTATTTGTGGTATGGCCTGGCTGATTCATTACCCGATACCCGAAGCTTGTGGTCGCTGGCTCGTCTTCGCTTGCATTACGGGCTGCCATATATGTGCAATGATCTGGGGGTGACTCATGCCGCGATTTTGCAAGCAGCGAGCGGTTGTCTTGGAGGTTATTTGTGTCGTGCAAAACAACAAGGCCCATGGTATGCTTCTTCCTACACTCGCGACTTTTCAAATGCGGCCCTCTTTGTCGGAATGTTATATTCGACGTGTTTAGTATTTGTGGGAAGATCACCACACATTTCTAGCCAATTTACACAAAGACCCGTCATTTTTTCTGCGCCATCCGCTTAGCAACACCTCACTCATGAAGCCTGCCAAAGATCTGCCAGCCGTGAACGCGCCGCTGCTTTGAGCAATCCCTTCTGTTGAATTCCTACACACGGACGACGCACATGGCCCGAATGCAAGCTGGATCCCACGACCCGTTTGCTTTTTAACAAGGCATCGAACAACGAAAACCCCTCGTGGGGCGGTGCTTTGGTGATGACCTAACTGAGAGCAATGAGTGGGCAGAATTTGCGCGGCCGAGCGGATACATGTTTACGAACACCCAGCAGTGCGCTTCCCAAATATCGCCAACCATTGACGGTCTGTGTCCGCCGGTGACCCCGCTGACGGTCTGTGTCCACCCGTGACCCCGCTGGCGGTCTGTATCCGCCGGTGACCCCGCTAACGGCCTGTGTCCGCCGGTGACCCCGCTAACGGTCTGTATCCGCCGGTGACCCCGCTGACGGTCTGTGTCCGCCGGTGACCCCGCTGACGGTCTGTATCCGCCCGTGACCCGCTAACGGTCTGTGTTCGCCGGTGACCCCGCCGACGGTCTGTGTCCATCCGTGACCCCGCTAACGGTCTGTGTCCACCCGTGACCCCGCTAACGGTCTATATCCGCCGGTGACCCCGCTGACAGTTGTGTGCGCCGGTGACCCCGCTGACGGTCTGTATCCGCCGGTGACCCCGCTGACGGTCTGTGTCCGCCGGTGACCCCGCTGACGGTCTGTGTCCGCCGGTGACCCCGCTGGCGGTTTATGTCCGCCCGTGACCCCGCTGACGGTCTATATCCGCCGGTGACCCCGCTGATGGTCTGTCTCCGCCGGTGACCCCGCTGACGGTCTGTCTCCGCCGGTGACCCCGCTGACGGTCTGTATCCGCCGGTGACCCCGCTGACGGTCTGTGTCCGCCGGTGACCCTGCTGACGGTCTGTGTCCGCCGGTGACCCCTCTGACGGTCTGTGTCCGCCCGTGGCCCAGCTGACGGTCTGTATCCGCCGGTGACCCCGCTGACGGTCTGTGTCCACTGGTGACGCCGCTGACGGTCTGTGTCCGCCCGTGACCCCGCTGACGGTCTATCCGCCGGTGACCCCGCTGATGGTCTGTCTCCGCCGGTGACCCCGCTGACGGTCTGTCTCCGCCGGTGACCCCGCTGACGGTCTGTATCCGCCAGTGACCCCGCTGACGGTCTGTGTCCAGCGGTGACCCCGCTGACGGTCTGTGTCCGCCGGTGACCCCGCTGACGGTCTGTATCCGCCGGTGACCCCGCTGGCGGTCTATGTCTGCCGGTGACCGCGCTAACCCCGTCCCCATCCGGCAGGTGTTTGACGAGGCGGTACGCGCCGTGCTGCGGCCGGAGCCGGTGCGACGGCGCCAGCGCAAGTGCGCCGTCATGTAGCGGCCGCTCCGAGGAGAGACGGACCCGCTCTGCCGGGCGCCGGCCCTCCGTGCCGCCGGCCCCGTTCGTTCTCCGCAGAGTAGCTCCGCCGCGTGCTTCCAGCGGGAGCCGGGGAGCCGCGCTCGGCACCCACCGCTGCCCCGATCTAGTCGCTGCCCGGTGCGCTGCCGCCCGGGCGCAGTGGGCAGCTGCCCGGTCCGAGTCAGGCCGGCGGGCTCTGGAATCAGACGGACTCCCGCATTACATGGTTCGGTGGAGTCTGTTCTACATGTTCCGATACAATTCGTGCGCTGTGTAATCGGACGGCTTGTGCTCCCTGATCATGTGGAGTGTGCTCCTCGATCACATAGTACATAGTGTGTTCCGCGATCAGTTGGTGTGAGCGCTGAAGTTTATGGAGATGTGTTCTTTGGGAGCGTGAACGCAAGGGCTGATTGGAGTTTGTGCTTTGTGTGTGTGCCTGTGGTTGTCTGGACAGCTCTGTCTGTGCTAAGTAAGAGAGCTGAACTTCTGTCTGCAAACTGCTACAGTTTGCACTCGGCAAAGAATGGAATGCATGCAAGACATGACTGATGGCTCTGATGAAGTTATATAGCTAATCAGCACATCCCACCGAACCTTTGCACGATACTTCTTCTATATATGTATATTTTTATTTCGTCAAGTGGGCCTAACCTGTCGTTGATGTACACTAATCCGCCAGCTTCGGGGGGCCAGCGGCGTGAATGAGTTGCCTGGCACGCGCTCGTCTCGCGTGCGATGTTTGACGCGTCAACGGCCGCTGCGGCGTGCCGAGGCGTGCCGCGCCCCGGACGCGCGCTCTGCACGATCTCTGTCCGTGGGGGATGCAGGGACGTCGGCTCCCTTGTCCAGTCCATAATTGGCGGGGTGTGTGCGGCGTGGACCGAGACTCCATCGTCCTGCTCTCTTTCTGAGGTTTATTTGTATCCGTCAGATGTGATTATAATCGACATTTGCTTTGTCTACTTACGCAGTGCCGGAATATTTGTGGGTCACAAAAGGTCGTGAGGAGTACAGACTTTCTAGGAGTATGATTTTTGACTTTTTGTACTTTTTACCGCAATAAACATACCGTGCACCGGGTGTGGTTGTGGAGCCCGTTTTGATAATGCTGTGATATGACAGGCGTCCCAGCGTTCTGGAGAGTTCGCGACTGAGCTGGATTTTGCGGCCCTTCAGCTGGAGCACACGAGCTGCCGACCGGATGCGCACAGATGCCACCAGACGCCGCTCGCAAGCGAGAGATCGGTGATGTGCCTCGAAAATGTGTGACTGAGTTGAAAATCCGGTGGCATTCGCCAAGAAGCCATCAGTCAAAAGTCAAAACCGAGTCACCGAGTCGCGCAAGAGCACCCAGGCCGTCCTCGAACAAACTGGAGATCTCAGCACAGAGATGTAGACATCTTCGCCAGTACGAAACAGCAATACGCTCTTTCCTCGTTTATGTCAGCAGACTGCTTACGACACAACGCTGTTCTTACTGGACTAAACAGCATTCAAACAGAACATTTTCGACGGAGCATCACTGAGTTGCGCAAGCCACGCACTTGACAAACCACGAGAGAAACGGGCCCATCCCTACTTCTTGGCCCGCTTGCCCTGGCCCTTTGGCGGCGGTCCCTTGCCTCTAAGCTTCCGCAACCGCTTCATCTCATCGTTGAAGTCCTGGTGCTCGTCCCGGTACAGACCCAGTGCCCTGAGCCGAATCATCAAGTAGTAGGTCTCTTTAAAGCGTGGATAGTAGTCAACATACTCTGGGTCCTTGTACTTGGGCCTTTCTGACAGCAGCTTCACCACTCTCATGGACGTTTGCGTGGTGGGCCGCGCCACCTCGCCGAAGATGCGGCAGCTCAGCCGGTTCATTCGCCGCGCGTACTCGGTGGCATTCTTGGTCAGCTTGGCATAGCTGTAGAACCCGGACGTCATCCTGAGACCTGGAAGACCAACCACATTCAGGTACTTCCTGACATTACCAACTGCAAATGCAGAGGAGCCAGCAAAGCAGTTTCTATTGACAAATCATGCCTAGACGGCGGTGTTGGAAAACTTGACGTCTCCTGGCATAATGTATACTGGGAGATTTTATACCGCAGGATTGTGACTAGGTAATATGAAATATTTTGTACGCCATCATGATGCAACAAAAACGGCCTGTGGAAACTCATTTTACCTTTTTGTGTCAGGACAAAAAAAAAACCAAAAGGCGCAACAGCGTGAGACTTGCTGCTTCCATTAGGAGCCATGTATTGATATCCGTGAGAGCACAAATCTTGCACCCACCAGACTGAGGTGCCCAATAGCAAGCAGCCTGTGTTGCCATCTAGGTATATGATAAACCATGTATGGAAATGTGAAAAGTAAAGTGTGTGAATGTTGAATGGAATCGCCTTTGAACAATACCGGGAAATGAGTTACGAGTACCAGAATCGCACCGGTCTGTGGATCAGCAAAGCTCTCGTTTCCTACGCCCTACACAGACCAACTTGAATATCACTTAACCTACCATTGACGACGAATCACATTAATTGCCAAAGATGCAACGAACAGTCATAGAAAACCACACTGCCAATCACCTACCACAGATGGCTGCCTACTCACGCAACACCACTGTGTCATGGCAATGCAAATAAGAGAATCACTCGCAATTCAGTGTCGGAAACGTCTCAACTATTCAGCGGCTTGCACCCACCTCCCAGCTCAGGTTGGAGGTTGAACACAGCAGAGCTCTTCAATTGGCTTTAATGGTTCGCCTCCTCGTGACTGATTTGTCAAGAGCATAAATATTCTGCTCGCGCTCATGCCTCGGACAGATTTGTAAGCATTTGGAGGGAAGCTGTACAGAGATGGACATCACGATTATGAAGGACTTATTTTTGTACTATTATTTGTACTCATCCAGAACTGCCATGTGGTTGGATTTTTGGCCACTTCCTGGTACCCGGAGTACAAAAATGTTACGGAAGCTGTGGACTTAAACAAAGTTAAATTTGTCACTTAAGGGTGTGAAATTGGAGCTGGTAATTCATGCTTTACAAAAATATCCTTTTAAGTTGAAAAACGCTGCTATACATCGCCAAAAAACTGTTCGGAGACAGCCATCTCACTCCGGTAAAAACACCAGAACACCGGAGTAAGATGAACCCATAATTTTGGTCCGACAAATTACGGAGAAGGGACAAAAACAAGATTAAGACAAAATCATGATTAAATTGCAGCGTGAATTATCATATTCTTCAATGGTATCAGTAAAAGCGCATCAAAATCCATTTATACATTGCATTATCCGCCGGAGTCAGCGGAGTGACTGACTCTGATCCCTTTTGGTCGGCCTGCACGGGTCTGGCAGGCATGGTACTCCCGCTGGCTCCATAAATCGGTGAGGAGTGCTGCCTGTCTCTATTGTTCAGGTGGGACGTGCAGAGCCTCGTGTGTTGACTGGGAGTTGCAAGGTGGGGGGCATAAATGCTTAGCTGTTTTTAAAACCAGTTAGCTGGTGGAGCGTGAGTGACGTGACCGTGGTGGAGCGTGAGCAGCGTGATCGTGGTGGAGCATGAGTAGGTAGCAGTCTGTGGCATGTTAATTCACATTTTTTGTGTACCATTTTTTTTCTGGCTGTGCGTATCATACCCAGCCTCCATTTTGGAGGGTGCATTAGCCCGGTGTGTAGTCGCCCTCCATTTGGGAGAGTGTGTAAGCCCAATGGGTAATTACTCTTCATTTCGGAGGGTGTAGGCAGAACCTTTCATAAATTGCAAACCTATGTATATTCACACATGTTGCATAGTACAGAGTAAGAGACTGTTGTTTCAGTGTGCCATGTTTAATACTGATGTTTCCTTTCATTTAGTGTTTTTACATGAATTGCTGTAAATAAAAAGTGGGGCTTTTGTTGAGTACCACCAACTGTACTGTTATCTCTTAAAGATAACATAAATACAACTGTAATGACCTGCAGCACTTGGATAATTTTGTACTCCACTATAGAAAATTTGTACTCTGCTACCAGGAAGATTTTTAGATTTTCCAACACTAGTAGTGGGGGAAGTAAATGACATGCACCTCTGCCACTTAAACAGTATTTTACAACTAAAATGACCACTGAACAAGTTGAATGACAACTGACAACCATGTCACACAACACCAAGGAGCTCAGCTCTAGGCATAAAGACACAAACACATCAGACCAACAGACAGACAACAAGGGCCCATTAATGGTTTCTAACCCATGCTAGCCACTAATCTTATGACCTCACTTCCCTAAATTTAACTAGAGATAAGATCCTTAGATCAACAGAAGTTGTCCAGATCATTTTCAACTGTTGCTAGGGAGGGACTTTCTACAACTTTGTTTGGCAGTCCTGGGTCCATTCCAATTGTTGATTATGCTTTGACTAAGTGACATATGCATCTTCACAGTTCTGCTCCTACCTTTTGCTAATTGAGACTGGTTTCCCTCTAAGTTTCTGCCTAACTTCAAGTGCACTTGTAGATCTACCTTGTCTTTCCCCTTTGCAATCTTAAATACCTCTATGAGAACCCCTCTACATCTATGATATTTCAATGAATACAAATCCAAGACCTGAAGCTATCTCCTCATATTCTAAGTTGCTAATCATAGTTATTATCCTAGTTGCTTTTTACCATACCCCCTCCAGCCTATCCATATCCTTTTGGGTACATGGGGACCAACCCTGTGCATAATACTCCAGGCATGGTGTGGCATAAGCTAAGTTCAGCTTTTGACAGCATCCCTACTCTTGAAATGGACATCCTTGTTCATAAGTTCCAGCATCTCAAGTGCCTCTACTTCATGTAGGCATACTTCATGCACATTCTCCTAATGTACCACAGACTGATGTCTTCACTCAGGTTGTGCCTTGTGGTGTACTTCAAGCACAAAATCAGATAAATGCTCTGAAGTTCAACCCTTCATAGCTGGCTTAAAAAACATGCAACTGCTCACTGACAAAAGTCCTCAGGCGATTGTTGCACTTCTACGCGTGGGACCACTTGTTGTATCATATATTTGATATCTTTATGCTTAAAAGGAACATTTCAAATGAGGCAAACAACGATCACTTCATTATTAGCAGCCTACATTTCATTGCAAGTCACAATTGCATTCAAAATTAAGCAAACCACGGACAATCTGTTCACAATTTGTCTTAGCACCTACCGTTTCAGAATCTCAAACACCTTGAGCACATGTCGCAGGCGTACATAGCGTATTCCTCTATGGAAGATACAATTACTACCGCTTAACAGAGCTGCTCTTTCGAAACATGTGCGTCATTTTCCATCCGAAATTGCAGCGGCCAAATTAGGAGGAATTTTCCCATACCGAGAGCCCTTCCCGCGAAATCGCGGCAGACGGCCCTACGTTACGCCTTTGTGAGCATTCCCTTGCCGTCTACCCCCTTCTCTTGTTACGCACTGGCTGAGCTGGGCGGAACTCGCCCCACCTGGTTACACTGCAATAAGCGTAGCATCACTAAAAGTAGGTACATGTAGACCGAGGTAGACAATATACAGATGCGCTAGACAAAAGACGGCCGTGTTGCTGTCCTGAAAGGAAAACATAAAACGCAATTTAAAAAAGTCGTAGCACAATCTCCAATCAAGGCTTTAGAAACTTTACGTTGTCGACCCTCCCCCCGTTGCACTGCGGCCACGGCCCATAAAAACGCGCGTCTAAAATGTTACGGCAATATGTCTATGTCGAAAACAGTGTGCCCAACATTTTGGGTACCTGCTTTTGAAATGATACACGAAAAAATGATATACATGAATGAAATGAGCTGCTCCTATTTCCTCGAGTTATTACGGTAGCAGCCGGACGCTTAGCACGATCGTCCCCTTCAAGGACGTGCCGAATTTGCCTGGCGCCAGGCGTAGGGAAAACACGTGACCGTCGGGTAAGTCGTCAGTCACGCACGGCCACGGGCCTAGCAAAGTAATGCAAATTACAAGCGCCGTAACTAAAAACTTCAGTCCACTTGAACGTGGAACCGCGACGGACCCATATCCTACCGGCAGCCTCCAACGTCCTCACAAGTAGTTACTGATGACGCTGTTGTGGCGTCGCCACTAGTTCCGGTCGTTGTCGCAGCACACACAAAATTGTCTACTATCGCCTGCTTTATTGACTATCAACACCTGCAGATTAACGCCTGGGGCGTATGACACGCACAAAAGGCCAATTTGCACTATTAAGTATTTGTTTGTGACACAACGGAGTAATAAGTAGTTCATACATTGCGAAAAAATGCAATAAGATCGACGCAACGCTACTAGTCAAACAGGACTGACGGCTATCTAGCGTTAAATAACAAACTATCACCGCACGGTGTAGAACCAGTTGGCGTTGCTGACTGGAACAGGTCAATAACTAAAAGCAAGCATCACCACACAGCCCAGTCAGTCGGCGTCGCAGGCTAGAATACCTTGGTAACCATTTATGACCGCACAGAGCAGAGCCGGTCGGCGTCGCAGACTAGAATACCTTCATAGCTAGCACACTAAAAAATCGAATCCTGTGATCAAAAGTAGGTACGCATCAAAGCGTTTCACACCGGTCACAACACCACGCCCCCCCGGCACGCCGATCAATGCAGCCGCCCCGGCGGGACGGGGAACGGCGCCCGGATGTTTTTTCCCCACACATGCAGTGGGAGGGGACCTCCGAAACGGCCGGCTCTCATCGGTCAACCATGCCTACAGCTGGCTAACGCAGTAGGAACGTTTCAAGCTCTGCAGGCTAGGGTTGTATCGTAAAATGGTGCACGCCATAGATTCGGTGCCTGCCTGAGATCGATGCAAATACTCGCCAACTCCACAACTGGACCTGAAATAGCCGGCTGGCAGGCGTAATACATGCATACGAGAGCCACGCCGGGCCGCTGTCCCTGCGCCCAGGACTCCAAAACCAACAAAATCAAATATATGAAATGCGTCATTTACGAAATGACTAGACATCCGTCATCCGACGTTCCGCCAGTTACATAGCAAAATGACAAGACACCTATCAACAATCCGTTCCGCCAGTTACATACCACATGACTCGTGTGGCAAGGAGCGCCACCATCATGCGTAGCCATTAAGGACACTAAACGGGGGTTTCAGTGATCGCCATTGTTCACGTGAAGAGATCATTCAGCCCTCGCAAAAAACGACCTAGTTGCTGGGATCGTCGCAGGCTTCCTCGTATGACCGTCCGTCAAACGGCGCCATGTACCCCGGCCCCGTGAAGTTCATCAGCGCTGCCAGCCCACACAGGCCGTACCGGAACTCGGCCATTCTGTTGCACATGGGCAGCAGCGGCGTCAAGTCGACGCCGTTGTACACCATGCGGAACTGGAGTCCCTTCTGCGTGTGCTCCGCGCTCGGCGCGTACACCTCGATGGCCAGCCGGGCCGCGTACGGTGGCTGCTGATGAACGGCCATGGCGCGCACGTCCAGACTGAGCAGCGCCGCGCTCAGCGTCAGGTCGTGCGCGGCGAACACGACCAGCGCCGGCGCGTCGGCGGCGCCCGCCTCCAGCCGCGCCAGCAGCCGGCCCAGCTCGGCGAAGAAGCCGCGCATGCGCAGCCGCGCGGCGTGCCGCTCGTGCACGCCGCGCGGCTGCCGGCTCTCCCAGCGGCGGAAGGCGAACAGGCTGGTGGCGTCGGCCGGCGTCACGCAGCGGCCGGCAGCGCAAGGCAGCGGCGCAGCGTGGCAGACGAACGCCAGCAGCGCATCCCACAGCTCGCCCGGGCGCAGCGGCGGCTCGGTGGCGGCGCGCTCCGTCGCCAGCGCGCCAACGCGCGCCGTGCGCTCGGACACAGCCGGGTGCGCCTCCAGCTGGCGGCGGCGCTCGAGCGCGGCGCGCGTCTGCAGCCGCTGCGCCGCCGCGCAGCTGCAGCGCGCCGGGCACAGGTGGACGTCGCGCGTCACGCGGTACGCGGTGCTCGCCGAGAGGGCCGCCTCGCCAGCCAGGCCGTACAGGAGCGCGGCACCACTCTGGAAGGTGCGCTCCAGCGGCGTGAAGTAGAGCGCCAGCGGGCCGGCCACCAGGCGGGCGTAGGGCCCGCGCAGCGCTGCGCCCAGCTGCAGCAGCTGCAGCGCACCCTTCCGCGTCAGCCGGCCTACGCGGCAGCCACGGCCCTCCGGCAGCAGGCGCGTTTGGCTCAGCGCCGCCAGTCGCGCGCGCCACGAAGGGTCGGCGGCGCGCGCGGCCGCCGCGCGGCTGTAGTTGGAGTAAAGCCGGCGGATGTCGCCAGAGAGCGACGCTGACGTACCGCAGTCGAGGTCAGTCAGGTTACGCACGTGTAGCAGTGGGCCCCGGTCGCCGTGCCGCACCAGCAGGAAAGCTGCACGCAGCTCATACCCGGCCAACGTTGTGCCTGCAAGGGGACGGTCAAGGTCAGCATAAAACTGACAACAGGATGTTTGGAACACTGCAGGCCTTGCATATAGTGGTACATTGTATCATCAGTCATGTAAAATGCTTGTTCAAAGTCAGCCTGGTTCTAGAAAAACCAACAGTAGATAATTACACCAACAAACCCACACCTGAACATTTTAAAGAATACCATTATAATGCACAAATAGATAATATTCTTATCTATGAATTTTCTATCTGTGAAAATGAGCAACTGAAGCTGTGGCATGAGCACAAGATCATGCATTAAGATTGAGCTACAAAAATTCCATAACCTTCACTTCCTGCTCTGATGCTGTCAAGATGGGCACAGGCTTTCTTTACAGGAACCAGGGCTGAGCTACTGCCGGGATCTAACTCTTTCTGTTGGAATTGAGTCTTTAGTGCATGCAGAGGCAGAGCATAGCCTTGTCTCTTGATGGACATGCTTGTGAACCATGACCAAGCTGAAAAAGAGTATTGGAGACAATGAGTACATATGATTTGGACTACTTGGTTGCAGTTGCAAGTGCCTCAATGAATCATAATAAAACTATCAACCTTAGACATACCATGTTATACAAGGCACATTTGCATGATTTTTGTACAGCCCATAACATACCTAACAATTTGTGCTGATGAGGACAAACCACAAAACTTTAAGCTGGGATATAATTCACAGAAGATTATTACACATCAGCTTTAGCCAGCTTCATTTTATATTTATTGCCAGCTACAATACCCAAAGTTCAAATATTGCAATTATACCCTGATACATATTTCCCAAAAGAAAGTGGGAACCATATTAAAATAACTCGGCATCCAACTCACCTATAAAGCTCAATGCCACCACAAGGGCCAGCACACATACCAGCCTCACCCATTTCAACATGCCACTTCTGGTGCCCAGAAGAGCATAACAATTGAAGCAGCTGGGATTCTGCACCCCACCTGCATTAGACCTGTGCTTAGACATGATGCCAACTAAGTGTTCAAGGTTCACAAGACATTGTTATGAGGCAGTGGCAGGCCCCCAAAAGCCTTATTTAAAGAATACATTTAACATTGACTTTTCATATGCCCCACTTATAAATAGACAAATTAGGTCAGTACACCAGCAGGCATCTTCAGGTGAATGCAAAAACAGCCCAGGAAGGATTACAGCCAGGGGGCGGAACCCCGGCTTTTAGCCAGCTACAAGACAACACAAATGCATCATTCAAACATCCAGGTTGTCATGGAAAATATACAACAGTGATTGAATAAAAAACGCCGGAAATAGTTTCGGTGACAAGCCCTGACATTAATCAAAGCCACCCTCACAATAACAAATGGGCAAAAATGAAGGAGAACCCTGAGACAGGCTGCCGCGAGCAAGGGCCACTCAAGGATGGGGAAAACAGTGGACTAATACTTGTACACCTCAACCTCAATGTGGCTCTGGCTTTGAAGTCTTTTATAATTGGTCAGTCTCAGCATGACGTCAGGTTGGCACACACCGCAAACCTTCGCCTGTGATATGCAACATTAGGGCGTCGGGCGCATAACGGAATTCAGAGCTTCCGAGGCTCTCGTACTCGGATGCACCGATAGTTGCATGAGGTTAAACAACAGATAGTGGCAACTATGCGACAGCAAAAAAAAACGAATATTTTTTCCATCGTTGCCTTTCCTACAGCGGCATTTGTTGTCAACAAAGCCACTGTAAAATCTTAGCAAAGGTTGTAAAATGTGAGCACACTGCTGCCGATGTTAGTCCGTTTCAAGCCCGTAAAAGCAACGCCCCTAAAACAAACCATGCTAAAATGTCGTTCTACTACCTACCGCGGCACTTTGGCGCAGGGACAGCGCAGCAAGGGGCAGGGACTCAGTTGCCCCCAATGCCGGGAAGCAAAAGTATGTTTCTGCCCCGTGAAAATTTTTAGGAAGCTCCTTTTTCCAAACTATAGGTTTTGTAGATCTCGTAGATTACCAGATTTCAGATCGAGGAGGCCAGTGGTTGAGCTAAAGGATTCAAAATCGGGCTCAAAAGATCTTTTCTGGATCACGAGGTCTGTTTTCTGGATCATAAGACCGGCTTTATGGCTTAGGTAGCCCATGGTCTAGGTGAGGAGGCCCAGGAGTGGCCCTTGTTGACTCGGGAGGCTCCTGTTAACAGGCTCCTGTTGTCTCACTCTCGCTCAAACACTCATGTGTTTGGGTGGGGAGGATAGTCAATATGAACACACGAAGGTTTTTCCAGAATAATGACCGAACGGTACCGTGTAGCCGCGCCAAACTTTCCATAGTTGTAGTCAGCAAGTACATGAATATAAAATATTTTGACGAGCAAAATTTGATGCGCCTTGTAAGGTCGCTGACCTATGACAGATCAAAGTCAGGCCGTCGCTGTCAGCGAAGGCAGTTTCAAGGGAATCATTCAATCTAACGCGTCAGGGGAGTTTTACGAGGCCGCGTATCTTCAAAATAGTTTCTTAGACAATACGACCATTTCAGTCAGATAGCAACAAGTTACATTGAGCTTGGGCGCCATAAGACGGTCAGACCGAGACCAAAACCAATCTGCCTTTTTACAGCATAGCTTTCTTGATGGGGTAGCTTCTGATGATCATTTTGAATTTATTTATAACAAGGACGTCAACAAACATCTTCCTTGGACTGTTTGAAGGTAAGAGGAGGTCACCGACCACAAATGGCGCAGATAATCTTTTGTTTTGAGGAACACATACTGCCTGGCGTAATCCTCATCGGTACTTCAAATTAAACAGTGGAGACAACCTTGTGGGTTTTTGAACACTAAGACCTTGATATTATGTAAGGTCAGCGCCATGAAATGAACACCTGAGACATTTTGCTAAGAACAGGTATCTAAATTTGGGACGGTCGCATGAGGAGGTCAGTACACACTTTGGACACCCATCTGAAGTTTGGCCATCTTTGACCTCAAGATCACTACCCAGGGAAGTCAAATTTTGACACAAGTTAATTTACTTACAGTTTTACCTTTGAGTTTGATCAAATCCAATTAATTCCGTGTCCCAGGGTCTCTTAGCTTTTAGATCTCATGTCTGTAGCTCAAATTGAGCCCACCTCCCCCAGCCGAGCGAGTCGTATTCGACCGGCTACCCGGTCAGCAGGGTTAGATCCAGGGAGCAGGCACTGGGCGCACGCAACTCTCCTGATCGGCCGTGAAGCCGCCGCAGGCAAAACACGATTATATGATTGAGTTGTGTCGACATCACATTGGTTGCTGGTAACCACACATTGCTACCCACTCATTCTGCGGTCACCGTGAGGATATTAGGCTGCCAAATTCACGACGGCTGTTTTATGAAGCTGTATGGTGGGTCGGATTGCAAAGACTTCCTTGCGACGTGGATGGGGGGGGGGGGGGGGGGCTTCTCAGGTCAGAATTGGCTGCGACACCCTAATGGGTTGCCACATCTCATCCGTTTCAAGGTTACCATCATAGATATAGTTAAGGGGCGGGAGTGGTGGTCCATCCCCTTGGGCACACATTGCTATAGCTGCAGAAAAGGCCACTGACAGCGAGTAGAAATCAGCGAGTACTCACTGAGTTCCGTCCCTTTTCCACGAAAATCGTGCGTGCACCCTGGTTATTATGACACTATGAGGTTATTGTGTTCACATCGGCTAATAAAGTCTCATGATGCAAGTCCGTAAGTGCTGATTTTTGTCGGAAAACGCAGTTCTGACGATCGAAACATTTTTAATACCACCCCATTATCACCTGGTTGAAGGAGTCAGAACATAATGACCATTGCCATCAGATTGAAAACGGCTAATAAAACTGTGGTACGCTGCGAACCAAACGATGAAGGTTTCATGAACACAAGATGAGGCATGCAGTTTCTTCTGACGTTGGAGACAGCTGTAAAGACAACGGCTAAACGGAGCTTCTCCCTACGTCACTAGTTCATGTGACCAATCAGATGCCTTCAACTTCGCTGCCATTTTTTCGTGTTACTCTGGCTTTGGATAAACCTCGTGCGGCGCAAGCAGACTGACCAGACCTGTGATATAAACATTTGAAGGCGAGTACTGCTAGATGTGCGATGTGTTTTCATCCTGTGAAAAAACACAAGTCCCATCAGTCTGGGACCGCTTGCACTAGTGCTGATGTTCTAGGCATCCTGCGTTGCTTGTGATGCATGGGTAGACGTGAGGCACGTCGAATAAGCGCTTCGGCGGATATGCCGATGCACACGGATATGGGGCCAATTTTTGATGTGCAGGGTGGGAAGGGTAACATCTGCCAATGGTTTTTAAACGTAGTGACAAATAATGCTTCCCTGCTTGCGTGGCTGCGTCAATGGTCGCCGAAAATTGGTGTTTGCACGATCGTTGGCAGATGCCAGTCGTGCGCATCACCGGGGCGACGCTTAAATCAGCTGATTACAGACTTCCATGACGTCATTGGTACTCGCCCGATTTTCATGTAGATCAAAGAGTGATGACGATTATGGATTAAGGGCGCCCTGATTGCCGTGGTTATTTTGCGCCCTCGATGATGGAGGTTTGGGCCTGTGATAAAGGCTTAGGCTTGTATAAAAGCGGTTGCTTTGTAAATGTCGAACAAGTTATGTGTTTGGCCGCAATAAGGGAGTACGAAACAAGGAAGCATGCGTGATGCCATGTTATTGAGTGAAATATATATTCGTTATGATAGCATATTGAAGTTCATTGAAGGACTGATTGATAGGTTGCATCAGCCATGGTGGCTGGTTCGAAGTCCTCACGTCGTTTCGTTATTTGGAACCTCGGAGAGCCGGAACACATTTTCGTTTTACTAAGTATCCTGCAGCTGGTTGAATGCCCCTCACGCGGATTGCGGTCAATTTAGCCCCTGAGGTTCAAGAAACTAAAAAAGCTAGAGACGCCAAATTTGTAGGGTGTATTGGCCTGTATACTACATAGGAACGCACTTGTGCCATAACTTAAGGTTCTTAGGTCATGGCTTTCGGATTAAGTGAGGTCAAACAAGGTCAAGCTCCAGATCGGTGTCCAGAGTGCCCCCAGAACCTAAATGCCGGTTCTAAGAAAAGAGTCACTGGTGCTCATGTAAGGCAAGTGATTTTTTACCTTTCTCAGGTCATGGTGACCAAAATCAAACAAGACCGCTTTGAGTTTTGCATTTGTACAAGCGTTCAAGATTACGTGAGGTAGTTTGTTCCAAAAAACAAATGTCGACCTGGGTCATCTTAGGCTAGCAGCCTCTGCTAATGTTTAAGAAGTTCATGGAAGGAACATGATGCCGGTCCTGTTATTAATAATATTGAAATGAGCACTGGAAACAACCCCACATCGCAAGCTTTGGAAAAATAAAGCAGTTTGGTTTGGACCGTGATCTGACCTTCATACTTGACCATAGGCCAAAGGAGCTTGCCAATTAAATTGTGTTACCTGAGAGACTATCTCAGAGATGTACGGCTTCGTTTAACATTGTGTCATTTGCATCGGATTGAACGTTTCCCCAGATATTGTCTTCGCTGAATTCATGGCCTGATTTTAACCCGTCGTAGTCCAGCGACCACAAGTTTTTGATACCAGGCGATCCGATATTCAACTGCCTACAGCTATGCAAAGTTTGGCGCGGCTGCGTCGTCCCTTTCGGGAATCATTCCGGAGAAACCCTTCGAGGGAGGTCAAATTGACCCACGCCCACCCGACATGTCTTAAGTTATACGATTTGACTCACAACACACGATGCGATCAGCCATAATGGATCCGACAAGCTAAGTATGGTGACATATCCAAGGGAGAGTTTAGGAAATTAGTAGGGTTCACGTTGTCAGAACTTTGTTCCGTTCTATGGATGCATGGAACATTTGAGATGCCTTGGCTTCGGCTCAGCCATCGAGTACCACCCTTCTCCGCCGTTTTTCGAAACACAGCTCCAGTTTAGACTGGTGTTTGTAGAGTCTTCGACTGATGGTTCCTCCGTTATTTCGCAATGCTGCAATGTTCGACCGCGTGACTGAATCATTTGTTTCAGGAAGAACATATTCATACCAACAGCCCGGATCACACAGAAAACTTTGCGAAGCCACGTGTCGCTGCTACAATGTGTAAGTAATATTTCGTTACATCGCTTTCATTCAATCATTCATTCCGGTTTGGATGGGTAGGTAAGGTGAGTTCTGGTAGGACGCAGGTGAAGGGGAGGTCAAATGATATTCCGTTGCAGGGGCGTCCGCACGTGATAACCTCCCCCCCCCCGAGAGTACGTGCGCCCCAAACCAAATTGTTTGTATGTTTTGTACCACAGGTGTAGTTTCGCCGATTGAGTTAGCATGGGTGGAGTAGGTTGAGAGGTGGAGGGCTGAACAGTGCGTAACAACGAAAGGTGCCTTCAAAACAGGCCAACAAATCGGTTTGTCACGGATTTGGCCCACTTTCCTCTCAAAGTTGAGGCCGAGGTGCGTGTGGGGGGGGGGGGGGAGAGGGGGAGCTGAAGCTCCTTCAGCTGAAATAGGAAACTGCATCCCCCACATGTACGTGACTAAAGGTTGATAATCGAAAAATCTAGGTAGCTACTTTAAGATAAGAGTAAAGAACGAGCGGTGTTGTTTTGTGAAACGTGTGAATCTGTGCGCCCCTGTGGGACGCTAACTTCGGTTTTCGGTGAAATATTTCAGTTGTTTAGGCCCCGTCGTAAAGTCCTGCATACGCCCCTGTTCCCTTGTGCTGCATCGATGATATTTAAGACCACATATCGTTGGAAATTCGATGGGAGAAGAAGTTGTGATATCTCGCGTCAGGTTTTTTTCTCATCCAACTGCGTTCTTTGTATCCGGGTGCATCGGTGTGAACACCTTGGGTGCTTCTGTGAATTACCAGCTCAAGGAAGGCCGTGGATGCGCAGAGGGTCCGATACTGTTCCATACGAATGAACATGAAGTAATTATTTGAAAACGTACGAGTAAAAGGAAGTCCGTTGCCCCGACATTTCACCTTTTTGTCATTTCTCCCTTTAGTGCCTGCACAACAAATTCAGGCCGATAAAGCCACGGTCAAACCAAGCCGTGTGAGTTATGTTTGAAGTGTGTTCGTGTGACGTGCATGGCGGCAGTAAACAACGCCACACCGGATCTCTCGACAGGCGCGCAAATCTAGAGTACTCGTACTCTAAATTTGAGTACTGGTGCTCAAAGTACTCAGAGCACTCGAACTAGAGTATCAGTAAGAGGGTACTCGCACCCCGGTAGTAATCATAATAAGTTTGCATTTTCAATGTGCATGACAGCATGTCTTCGAGCACACTTAGCGCGACGAAGCTCAGGCCTGCTCTGCACCGTGCGAAGGTCAGCTGTATGTAAGCCGCGGCTGCAGCTGATCGCTCGTCTTCCGCCAGTATGCGTTGTTCCATCGCTCACAGCGATGATGCGTCTGGGTCGGTAACGAAACCGCCAGATGTGGAAGGGTTAGCTTAGGTCTGCCTCTCTGGAGCACTGGATTTAGTGCACGTCCAGAGGCCCGGGTACAAGTATGTCTATAAATACCGGAATAGGAATTGGCGTATTCCCTTTTCACACGTGTATGAGAAATCCCGGCGATGCGCAGGTGACACAGGCACATCGGGTCATTGTCGACAGGCCTGGGGGGGGGGGGGGGGGGGGAAGCCTTCCTCTCGCGCGTCAAGGCCTCGCGGCGATAAATTTACTCATGGCCTGATTTAAGGGAGTGTTTCACACTTGTGTGGGATTTTGAATTGAAATGGCCGACTGGAAGGTCATTCAGTGCAGTTTGCTTCTCGCCCTTCTGGCCTATAAACCTCCAGTTTCTGAGCTACTATTTCAAGGTCACCCAGACATTCATGACGCTGTAAAAAACGTTATTCAGGTCTCGCCATGTCATTAGCCATATGGCGATCAAGGCAAAAAAAAAGAATGTGTCGTTCATATCTGGCGTTCGTGAGTACGACTTCCAGACATAACTGCCGTAAATTGGCTGTCAATCAATGTTGTGCACGATACGATGACGCAAGCAGACAATGACGCATTGAGAAGCATAATTACTAAACAGAGAAGTTTGTCGTGTTGAGCAGTTTTTACACTTAAAAGTATACCGATGGATGCAATTGAGCCCATGCTATCATATCTGATGCTTGCTTCAATGTCTTCAAACGTGGAACATTCCCTTCAACCGGCTGTTTTTTGTTTCTTCTGCTGCGGAGGCCGGGCCGACAGTATGACTTGGGATGATGTTTGAGTGTCGGCAAGGTGTTTTAAGTATCGAAGAACTGAATGATCTGGACCACACAACGTGTCTAGTTAACGTAGGCTAGCTACTATCCAGGCTAATTTTGCCAATATATTCAGTTTCAAGTGCAGTTGCACAATCAGCATCCTGCACTTGACAATATGACCAAAGTATCTGGCATGTACGGCTGCTGGCGGGCGCTTGTTCGTTACGTCTGTATTACCCGGTTGCAGCGCTCACTGAACTTTGATGACAGCAGCCAGGCAGACAGCAGACGGTGTAACAGGCGTGCTTGCTGTCCCAGTCGTCTGGTGGTCGTGAGCGTGGACAGCCGGGTTAAATTTCCCTGGTGCGCGTCGGACCGCCGGTCTGCCCGGCGCGTTCATAGGACGCTGCTGACCGCTGAGTCTCGTTGGACAGCGTGCCGAAGCTCGGTCGGCGCGCTGGTGGTCATCTGGTACGGCTGCTGGGCGTAAAAAATGGCCGTAGTATTTGTCAAGTCCTTGACGCGGGTATACACCTGAATGCCGAATGATTGCACTGTTTGAGGCCTGCTGGCGTAAGCTGATAGCAAGCATATCTACGGATACCGGCACACTTTGGGCTCGTGCGACTGCGAGCGAGCCGCCAGCCGGCCGCAGAGTACCGACGAAATGTAATGTTGTGTGTCGAAGTCAGCGGCTCGATAAAATGCCATTTCAAATCATAGATCTGTGCGACACGTAGGGGTGGAATTGAGACGTGTTGGCTGCACGAGCCTTCCTGCGAAATCGGCATCCGTATTCTGTCGGAGGAAACCTTCAAATGATGCAGACGCAAGGGACAAAGGCTACAAGACACAATGCTACAAAGTGACCAAACGCGTAGCATCATCCGGAATGCGGGAACTGGGATCTAAAAATGTTATGTTCTTTTTTGCTCATTGTGGACTCAGATCAATTACCGAATTCACCGTACTGTTCTACAGCGACTTGTGCATCATATAATCGTTACATTGTTGCGAACGTTTTCCGTACATTTCGGACAGCAAAGTTGTGGTGATTGTTTTCCAGAAAATCATAATCGATATTAAATTGTATGGAGATCATGATCGATGCAAAGCTTACACCTGATAACGATGCGTCACTTTTGTTCGCACGAATTATTCTTGTCGCACGTTTTACATCGTTCTTCATATCCCAGACTCGATACCAATACCGATTATTTTCACAAAAATCGCATTGCACGGGTAATACAGGTGGCAGCCTGGTGAATGTGGCTGAACTGAATTACAGCGAGAATAGAGATAGCCTGCAGGGCTAACAACCGGCCTGTTCACCGGACGGATGTGGCTATGGATTATACCTTTTGCCTCGCTCGCTATACGCTCGGATACGCCTCATCACCAGACCGTTGTCTTAAAGCTTTGACGCGTGTGAGCACCCGTGCACACGGACCTGGGCACGAGGCAGTGCTTCGTCATTTTTCTCGTTCTAGTCTATAAGGTGTAATTTGGCGTTTGGATTGATGGTTTCATGAAGATATGGGTGGGGCTTTGGGCGTTCTTTGGTGAATTCTCCCCCCCCCCCCCACATTTGTCCCCCCTCGATGAGCCACCAATCCACCCAGTAGCTAGATATAGGGCCATTATAAAAGACAGCCTTTTTTCATCGGAAATCTGCCATTCTCCGCTTTTCAGTCTTAAGAAACTTCGCGTTCCGTCATAAGCTTAATATTCGATGGAACTACGACTTAAGGTGACGCGGGGAATATTTGTTTATAAACAGTGATTCGCAAACTATTCAAGAGCGCTAGCTGTCCACGAGCATGATCTGCCGATTACGCCGTTGAGAGTTGACTGTCATAAAAAGGCGAGCAAATGTCCCTGCGCAGTTCAGTGACCTGAAGTGTGCACATGATATTCATCTATTTGTTTTTTATAAGCACTTGTCGTACCATTGCTTGAGTAACCAGTTTTGGTTCAACAGTTGGCCTGCGAGCGTTGGAAGCCTTGAGACAGGGCTCTGGTGCTGTGCGTGCTACAATGCACCGCCTACCCGCGCCGATTCTCTCACGTCTTAGCTTTGCCACTTCGGAATGGGGTAAGACTCGTTTGTTTTCTAGCGTACTTATTGCCTGTTGCTGTGTCGGTTTGGAGACATGGCTTTAGTAATCCACGTGTTGTCCTATAGTGGAACGCTTTCTCCCTGCACGCTCTGTGCCGGTTTTCGTTTGGTTTTGTTGCTAAGGGTACACTGCAACATCGCCTGATCTTAGTTGTAGACAAATGCTCTCAGGTGATGTTTCGTGACACGAACAGTAGTTTGCTTGACAAAATGGCGTACAATTTTGTACTTTTCGTCCAATTCTCAGTCACATGTCATCTCACTTAGATATTACAAATGTGTTTTCAATGTTGCTCTCACCCATAAAAAACGGTGTGGTTGTTGCATCAAATTAATAATAACCGCTGGAGTTGATGTCGGAGCTCTCCAAGGGGTAGTAGCTTCCTCTCAGGCGATCCCACCCCTTAGAACTCGTGGGACATTGGCTGCGACGGGCGAACTTGGTGGATCCCATGTCCACCTGTATTCGGGTTAGGTTTCAACCTCCAGCGCTGTTTAATAACATGACCTAGGGCATGATATCGGCTTTTCGTCCATAACCTGAGCATGACTTCAGCCGTTTGACATCTTTGGCTTCGGCAAGGCAACCTTACTCCGTGGAAGATATTGATTTTTGTATAATAATTTTTCAGCTGAATCGCAGCATACTACGGTACGCTCGCCTGATGCACCGAGTATCTGTGCGTTTGCCGGCAGTTTTCTTTGGTAATCATCTGCAAAGTTTCAAAATCAGCATGGGTACTACGAGAAGCGGGTGCCCGGCAGTAGGGCCTAAACGATGGCGGCGTGTTAGTTCATGGCGCTACAGCCAAAAGCGAAGTGGAATGGTTGCTATGTTTCAGCTGTTAGGAGACTCAGGATTGACTGCTGTTTTTTGTTTTTGCCTGAATTTTCTCGTTTTGGTAGCCATACAAAGCGAGAGGTTTTTTAGTCCTCATGATTTTAAGTGGAAAGTTATTGGTGATGAGGTTGCACCCAGCACTGACACATTTCTTCTGCAGTGATTTCATGCAAGTGCTCAGAGCGTTTCGTCTTCGGGGTTAAAAGTTGGGGTATTGCCGAGTAGGAACAAAAATTTGTAGATGTGGGCAGAGAGTTGCCCATTTTACATTGCGTGGTAGGGGTAGTCTGTGTAGAAGGTCGTTTCCACGCGTTCTCCGCATTATGGCACTTCCCTTTTTTAGAGCTTGTCATTTAGACTTATTGGAAATAAAACAGGTCTTCCATGCCTCGCTCGCAGCGTGTCGACACACGTTGCCGAGACTGTCCGTGATACGTTGCCGTGACTGTCCTACGAACATGTTCAATACCAATGTAATGACAAGCTAATCTGTGCCGCTGTCTATTAACAGCTTGCTATAGTTGTCTGCAGTGCTCATCTCTTGAGGCCTTAAACGCTCTTGCTTAGGCATCAACGAGCTTGGGATACATTGCCCTCAAACGACACAGACGGGTTGCTCACGGTGCAGTGAGAGATATGCACTGAACTGAGTCCCGCCAGGGAAGGTCAATATTAAATCCGAGCGTATTCACGAGTTTTATGCAGTCATTCTTTCGGACGGATTTTCTTACACAACCTGGACCAGAGGAAACTGGAAACACCCGTATCGCATGAACGCAATGCTTAAATGATGTTTGAACATCGCAGTTATTTCACACAAAGTGAAGTAACTAGTGTTCAAACACTACCAAACGGGAATGGTGCGCGCTCGCCCAGTTTGTTGACCCCTTTTATGTTTTAATAGCGATGAAGGACCATCCGCACAATAACGTTGACATAGTTGGCTTGTAAATTGAGGGTGCTGGTCACATCTGCATGAGCACTTGGAGCAGGTGCATTCGCCTGTGGGCACTGCCCCTGCCCCTCCGGCTTCCCACGGTTGTAGTTTCCCGCCGTTTCTTGCTCTGCTGGTCCGGGTTCGTTCTATTTTCACCATTGGCTGTAATGGCTAAAGTTGAATGGGCTCGGGATTTTTGCTCGTTTTTTATTTCCATTTCTTTGACGGTCATTCCGAATAATGCTATGATGTGAGAAAGCACGGCAAGTAACCTTAGGTGATTTCCATGACATTAAGGAGTGATGCAAAGCCGATCAGGTTGTATCATTATACCCCCACCCCACCCCACCCCCACCCCCACCCCCACCCCCACCCCCGCCCACCCTGTGGAAAACACGGGGAAACTAAAAGCATGGGAGAGTGGTACTTCGTAACATTTTGTGAGCTCATCTCGTGTGCTCCCAGGGTAATGTAGGCGTAGGTTTTGCCTGTGCAATTTTCAGATTGAAACCTGAGCGGATTGGCAGTTACAACACCACACGCACTGCAGACCCCAGTGTAATCTCGATTGCTTGTGTTGTAACTGTCAGTCCCTCTGGGCATCCACCCGAAAACTGCGTAGTGCAAGTTTGCGTCCCTGAATTCCCGATGTCCATATGAATTGAGTGTAACAGGAGTTTTAAAGCATTATTTCCCGGCGCATGATCTTTTTCTCTCGTCCGTCGGTCACCACTTAATGAGAGCTGAGGGGGTCCGATGCCCGTTGACCTGTGGAGACTGCAACGCCGGGTTCTGTTTTGTGGGCATAGGTCGGCTTGGGCACACCTGGCTGTCTTGCAAATGGGTCAACAATTCATCTGTAGTGTTCTCCCATGCAATGACAGCATTGACCCACAGGCTCTAAAACATATGACGCTCGATGTTGTGTTGTCACTCTGGGCATCCGTTGTCCATCTGCCGTTGTTTGGCGATTGATTACGGGGTTCAGAGCTAGCTTGCAACCAATATCTGCGCATTTTAACGTTGAGCAACGAATGCCTGACAAAATAAAGTCGCTCGTGATATCAAATGTAACTTGTACACTTTGCATGTCAACGATGTCCCAGACGGGATCAAAACGCGATGTGCTGTAAGTCATCAAGGTCTGGGCTGTTTTCTAGCTGCTGACTTCGCTGACGTCAAGAAAGCGGTGAAGGATGGCGACGCGACCATCGTGGACGTGCGGAACCCTGAGGAACTGAAGACGGACGGCAAGATCCCCACCTCCATCAGCCTGCCACGTCAGTAGACCTCGGCTATCGATTGTCTGGATCTGATTCCGACTGAGGATCGATTGTCGGCTAGCGTTGCGGCGCGTGCCGATCAGTTGGTAGGGCGTTTGTCCAGTACCGGACGCCGACTCGAGTGTCCGAGCCCGACTACCGGGCTGACATTTCGACGACCCCGCTGTAACTGGCGCCGTGACAACTTGCGGCGCTGCTGGCTGGCTGAGATGTTACATGCGTCGTGAAATCTTCCCTTGATCGAAGCGCAGGCTCGCCATGCCGAAGTCAAATGTCCGCACTGTACCGTTCCATCAGTCATTTTCTTGATGGGTACGCCTTCTTGACGTGCTCTGTTTCTAACCGTGAACTGTTCCCATTGTGAATTTGTGCATGTGTTGAGGGGAGGGGCCGCGTAATATCGCACCATTTCATGGACAGCTTATGATCAGCGGCTGCAGCTGACTGCGCGGAATTACTGACATCCGTCGAGTGACGGCGTTTGCCGGATTGCTCATGTTTAAAGTTTTGGTTTAGTAAAGGAGTTGAGCAAATACGTTAGGCCTTGTAACATATATTTTGATAATGTATCTGATGTATTTTCATCATTAATTCTTCCAACAAGGTGTTTCCAAAGAAAGCGAACAGTTAATTCCAAACACTTGGTAGAAAAAAATCAGGTCATAGGGCCACTGCGCATGGACAGCCGTCCTGTTGCCTGTAGGCGCCGGGTCACGCTGGCCTGTGTTCCTGCCTGTTCGCCTCACACATTGCACACCCGGTGGGCCGTTGCAGTGCCCGAGATCAAGGAGGCGGTGGCGTTGTCGGAGGACAACTTCAAGAAGCGGTACGGCGTCGCCCGTCCCGGGGAACGTGACCCGCTGATCCTGCACTGCAGGGGCGGCGTCCGCGCCCAGAAGGCGGCCGCCCTGCTGACTGAGGCCGGCTTCAGCAACTTGCGGTGAGGCGGACGCCACTGGCTGTTGCTGTCATTTGCCCGCAGATGGCAGGCGGTCACCGGCTGCAAATGGAAGGTCGCTGAATGCCTGTTTGTGCGCTGTGTGCGTTTTGAGGTTAACGCCGGACACCAGTCCCCCACATTTCCGAGAATGTGTGAATGCATTAGCATAACATGGCTTTTTCATTAGTAGCGTTCATGTGTTATCGTCACTAATCCTTCTTTGGTCAGGGTGTACCAGGGCTCGTTCGCCGACTGGGTGAGCCAGGGCGGCCCGGTCGACAAGTAGCCGGGCGGCGGGTCTGCCGACGGCTGCTTCGACGTGACGCAGGTGGCGCCACCGCTGCGCAGACTCCGCGGCCCGCCGTCGGCCACTGCAGCCAGATGCGGATGCGAGTGCTTGAGGAAGCCGAGATTTTGACGCTTTTCGTCTGCGCTGTTTGACTTTATCCCAGAGTAGGTTCGGCGCGAAGCGAAGTGAACATGTGATACTGCGTCGGTGATCTCTTGAGGTGGCTAGTGGCTGAGAATGCACAGACATAGAGCTGCATAATTTGGGGGTTTTCTGTGCAATGGCATCATTGGTGGCGTTTTGCTTGAATCAAAACATATTTTGATGGATGAATGCTATGTGTCTGTACCCAAGAAATATACTTACAAGAGTCCATCGTATCTCAGTTTTCGTCCTCGTGCATTTCAACGTTGGTTGTACAAAATTTCAGGTACTGACTGTAGCTCTACAGTTCATGGACATTTCAGCTTCGTAACCTTGGTCCAAAGATGCTTCTAAACTATGTTCACGGGACAAGAGTAGAAAAGGAAGATAACTTTGGAAATGGACGACTTTTGTTCAGGCGTTATTTCAACAGAAATCGACATGCTTCACCGTTTTCACTTAGAGTATGCAATGGAGTCCATTAAGTATGTTGACAAGATCAGCTTACTAGGCAATAAACCTAGCTGTCTGCATCATCCCACAGGCAGACTGTTTGGAGTTTAGCCGCCAGAGTTCGCTGTAAGCTACCATAATAGTCATCATCCAGTACTGCACGCTGTCTTGGGGACATGTATGCATGCACACGTCCCGTTCGACAATGTGGGATTACCTCAGTTGAGGTGACTTCGTGGCGAACTGGTGAGAGAGGCAGCGACCAGCGCGATTCCGGGGAAATCGCCGGGTTAAGCGGACGGAAGGAAAAGTAAGGAATGAAGAAAAGAATAAAGAAAAGCACGTTATGGGCAATGAATCGAGGTGGGCGCATAACAGCGTTTAGTGGCTCGTAAATTCGGACTAAGCCAAATGCCTGTCAAAAAACGATATTATGAAAAAGAAAGGTTAGATACAGGCTTGTGCTTCGCTGCAGATGGAGCTGGAATGAACACCGAAATCACCCGCACTTGTTCTGAACGAGGGAGAATAGATTCTTCCGACAAACATGATCGAGCATGAGACGGAATTGAATTGGTTGTTTTTGGCTGAAACTTCAATGAGCCGAATCAAACAAGCATAAGGTACAGTCATTTTCACAGACGGTTTATATCGGCAGCAAATTAAAGACTAAGTATCAGCAATGCTGTTTCATCAGGATATATTTCATATCCACTTAGGAAGGCCATTGGGCGTGGTATCTGGTAGTGTTCGCCTGGAATCGATTCCATTGAATTCGATCCCGGAATCGAATCGAATATACTACGTCGGATCGGAGTCAAATCGCAAATTGTGTCATGCACAGTAAGCCAGAGTTCAAATCATCCTGCGACTTTAGAATCGGTGTCGGAATCGGTCCTCGGATGCGGGGTCAGACACATGCCGAGCACGAGATGAGTGCCAATTCGGTTTGGGATGAAATGGCGAACCTCATGGCACGGGGCTGGATGAGCGGATACCTTAACTCCAATCAAGCATGATCATACATATGCACGAAATGTTTAAGTTTGAAGTGGCTATCTTCCACTGCACGGGCCGTTGGTTTGAGCCCGAATATCTCCCGGAAAATGGTCATTAGATTTGGTACTGGAGCAAACTAATCTAACGGCAACAAACAAAGTGGCTTAAATCGGAGGATAAACAGGTTTTGCTTGGTCTTCACGTTTGCTCCGAACTGACGAAATAAGCCCCAGTTTTGCGGACCGCAACCATCGTTGACGAGGATCTGTAGCCTTTGTGTGGGAGGTGGGCGCCGCTGAAAGCTGGCACGAGGAGCGCACTGTCACGCGGCTGGCTGACCTTCAGAGAGTTCAAGTGCGATGGAGCTGTAGACCTCAGGCCGGAGCGTTGACACGATATCCCCAGAAGTAAAGTGGAGGCTTAGCGAAGATAAGGCCCATCGTCGATGAGCTTGCAACAATTCCATTCACCCGTTGCACACCGTTACATTACGTTGTCCCGCAGCGCTGCTGTGCTGTGGACGTCCTCTTCGTCCTCTCGCTCACTGCCTTATCGTGAATCCCCGCAACACCCCACCTCACAGAGAGGCCTGTGGATGCTGAGATGGCCGCACCGCCGCCCTGGCGGGGAGGTCCGCCGGAACGCCGGCACAAAACCCGCAGGCGAGTCTCTGGGAGAGGGATCGGCCGAAAGAGTCCTGACCAAATGCAACCAAACCAAACCAACCGCAGCGGAACACCGCAGCGAAGCACATATGTGTTTCACGTGTGGAAAGCAACAAATGTGTTCAACTCACAGTTTATTCAACAGGGCGCGTAACACACCCCACCGCAGTTGTTTTCACACACATACTCAACTTCAGGACGAATAAAGGCGAGCCAAAATTATCGGTACCTTTTGAAAACAATGTTCTAGATACTGCACCAACAATGGTCGTTCGGGTTGAAACGCGTTACTCTCAGACCACAGCAACATTATATTAGCCACCGATATTTCATTGCTGTCCTTTGGGCCTATTATATGTTATTGCGTGCTTTTTTGGGAGGAGGGGGAGGAGGATGCAGCCGGCCCACCTAAAAGTTCCTAAAAAGCCCTGCGCAGTCATGATGACGCAAGTCCGATCTCAGGTCACCCGAGTGACATCACACTGGCAGCTGTATGGTTATTCACATTTCACAGTTTGCAGTTGTTCCGAGTCTCAAACATCACAGAATGTCATGGCGCACGGGCACGTCTCCGTTGGCGGGCTGGTCTTGAAAATACATGCTAACGTCACAATCAAATATTTTAAACGAAGGAAAAGAAGTGTCCCTCTTAGGTTTTGCGCGAGGTACAAGCAACCTGCGTAGTATATTACAACATTCTGACTTTTCCTTGCAAAAGTATGATGCATGAAGTAAAGAGGAAAGTTATGAAATAAATCAATGAATTAATTCAATTTCACGGGTTGTAAAAGTGCTGCACTGATAGTGTTAGCATACATACAAGTGATTTGAAACATTTTTTGGGTCCTTGAGGAAAGTTAGAGCTTTGTAGAATATCCCAATGTTAATAAGAGATGATCAAACGAATAAATTCTTCAGTCGACCATGCACTTAAAATTCCGGCCGAAAGGCAGAATGCATCATGTGCGTTGCGGCTTTATATTACCCGAGGTACCTTGTTGCACAAAAAAGTCCAGTGTGACTTTTCTGACAATAACAGCAACTACTTGATCAGTGTTGGTTCATACATATCTGGCCATACATAAAGTTCACGTTACTTAATTCACTCCGGTAAAAATATATGCCGCTGTTAAAAGGAAGAGGGCTACAGTCGAAACAGTAAAAAGCATCATGTTTGTTTGAATGTTATCCTGGCTCATATAGCTTGTGCCCATCGAGAACAGCCACACATTAGCCGTGCTTTCATTGCGACATTATTTTGGTGCATAGCTTTACATCCGAAGGCAAAGCACACAACTTGAATATTTCAGCCATTTACAATTAAATGAGATGAAGTGCTGCATCTTGAATACACAGTTTTCTGTTAGTTCTTGAACAAAAATATTTCAAAAACTTGCGGTGGTGTGCTAAAGCCCTTTATACACCTATCCGTACGCGAGGTAGCCGATTAGTCACCTAGAGCCTGAGTTATGTCCAGCATTCCATCGCCGTGTGCGGCGCGCGCCCCTGGCCCTGAGTCGTCGCTTGAACGTCGACACATGGCTGGTTCCTCGCGCTGTCCGATCGGTCCCGGTGGTTCCTCGCGCTGTTCGATTGGTCCCGGTGGTTCCTCGCGCCTCTCGATTAGTCCCGGTGGTTCCTCGCGCCTCCCGATTAGTCCCGGTGGTTCCTCGCGCCTCTCGATTAGTCCCGGTGGTTCCTCGCGCCTCTCGATTAGTCCCGGTGGTTCCTCGCGCCTCCCGATTAGTCCCGGTGGTTCCTCGCGCCTCCCGATTAGTCCCGGGGAGCGCTGGGCGAAACCTAACGACTCTGCGGCAGTCCGAACAAGCTAAACCATTGCTGGCACCGATATCAAATGGCTGCAGTAACGAGGCTATTTACACCCGAGGACCACAAATCGTCGCAAAAATAAGCACATAGTTGTTGTAACGGGCCACTTAAACAGGCCAGTTACGGACGCCGGCGGCAGCCCGCTGCTCGCTATCTGTTTTCACCTACAAGACCAATGTCGTGAAATCATAGTTAGGAACGTGGGAGGGGTGCCTGGGACCGTGACCATCCTCTTTTTTCGTGAAATATCGACATGTATGCGTCTACGCTCCGAGGGAACCATAGGGTTACGGCCCAGGAGGGCATTGTTGGTTAGCACCTGGAGCATGGGTTCACGGGTGTATTGCTGTCCTTTTGTAAACCTTTTTGTACTGCAAACCTGTGGTGTATTGCTATCCTTGTTCAGATATTAGCAGTCAACTCTCCATCCCACTTGGGAAATTCCTCTGCATGATGACGGTAGATTCGAGCAGCGTTTTTTGAGTCCGACACTGTTCATTTTTAGCACGATGCCAGATGGTGCGGGGTGTTCCAGCCCCGTCCGAACCTCATAAACCTTTATGATAATTTATTTTGTTGCGGCGATTCCTTGCAGGTAGCAGCCAAGGGAAGCGGTGCGACCGTCTCCTTACGCGCATATTTTTGTTAGTTTTCACAATAAATGGCCCCCGCCAGAACACAAAAATCAGCGTGATGCATGCCCACCGAGCCTCTCCCCGGGCCCCACCCCCGCACCTCCCACTGTGAACATCCTGGCTACGCCCCTGATTCGCAGGCGCACCGCAACACAGTGGACCGTATCACCGCCGTGCCATGTACGCTTACGCCAGCCGAGGTATCGTCAAATAATGCGGATTGGACGAATTAAGGAGTTGGCTGCAGTACAGGTCACGCAGGCCATTCGCCGCAAGCAAATGCATATCGAGACAAGAAAGCACGGTCGCTAAGCTGCAGTCACGGAATCATAACACCTGAAAACATCGCCTGCGATCTCTGTGACGGACGATGTTCACACACTCCCCCGGGAGGCACGCGGATTGCTGCCACTCGAGAGAGAGGTGTCTGGTATTTTAAAAGTGCACACCGGCAAGGTTTTGAGCATGTATTCCAGCAGACATCGCCACGGATGCAGCTTACGGACAGCGGTTGCGTGAGGGTCCCGCCCGACGCTGTCCGCAGAGAAGCCTCTCGGTGATTTCAGAGAATCACGAGTGTCGCTCGTGTGCACCTTCCTGTGCACCAGACGACATTCCTTGTACTTATATATATATATATATATATATATAT